CTTTTTTTTTTTTTTTTTTTTTGGAACAATGGCAGCTATTATGGCAGTTATTTTTTTAATAAAGTTTCCGTATCTGTATGCATAATATTTTGTAAAGGAGCTTCGCGCAAATCGAACGTGAATCTATTTTGAACAATTCGAATATTTCCGAACGTTTTATATCCAGTGACTGTTATAATTTATTGACACTATAAAATTCAAGACTCTGTTTATCGAAATCGCTTAAACATGCGAGTCCTTTCAAAAAGGATTCGGCGGTAGATCGACGAATCGATCGATACGCTGTTATGAAGGTTTCAGCCTACGGTTTCTAATGGATAAGAAGAAAAGGATCAAAAAGAAAATGGAAAAAAAGAAAAGAAGCACCGAGAAGCGATGCGTCCGGAATTTTTTTAACGATGTCGTGTTTTACTAACGAATTTTTACGCCGTTTTTTACACGATTCTTACCGGCCTAAGGAGCTGTCTTTTCCACGAACAGCGATCGAAGCTGTTTGCGTTGCTGCTTTCTCGCGGAACTAATCGCGAATCGATCTCGATCCTTTGAATTAAAACATACCGTTTGTTAAAAACGAACATCGAAAATCCGAATGATTTTGCTTCGACTATTTGTCTTGAAAATAACAGAAATTATTTTCCTTTTCCATTAATCCAAACCTCCCTTGTCTTAATAATCGAGTTTCGCGATATTCAACGATATTAACCAACTATCGTTAGATTTTTGAAATGTCATTATATACATACATTTATACATTTTAAATATATGTCAAATTGGAAAATCAGAACTTAAATACACCCTGTTTACTGGGAACTTGAATAATTTCTTTTGTTTCGGTAACCAGTTTCGCCAAACTAGAAAAATTCTGAAATATTTGTGAACCGTCATTGAAATTTTATGATTTTACATATTTAGTATCCATAAAATTTGCGAGATTAAAGCTTAAACGTTTCACATTTCATTACGTACATACCAATAATCTGTGCGGATGATTTTAACAATCAAACGCGATCGATTTCGATTTCCGAGTTGTTCCGACCGAAGATCCAAAATTCATCCTTCACCGCGATCATCGTCACCGATCACTCAAAGAAGACTGATAGCGCAAAACTCGAGTGATTCCATTAGACCGCTCCATCAAGAATCGATTTCGAAAAGAAGGAATATGAAGAATGAAACGGATCGAGGAGATCAGGAAACGGATACGAGGGAAACTTCGCAACACATCCACGTGAAAGTTATAAGCCAACTAGCAGGACGAACCAACGGTTGACCTCGAAGCAACACAGAGGGAAATTTTCACCGTCAAAAAGGAGGAGGAGAACAGTGAGCGAGTGCGAGGGCAAGAGAGAAAGAGAGAGAGCGTGAGAGAGAGAGAGAGAGAGAGAGAGAGAGAGAGAGAGAGCGCGTAAGAAAGAGAGAGAAAAGAAAAGGGAAAATGGCGAAAAACACGAGTAAAAGCGAGGAGGATGCGAAATACAAGAAGGAAAATGCCAGAAAGAATTTCATACATTTCATATACATACAAGCATACACGTTACGTATACATACACGCATACGTATACACATAAGGTGAGAAAGGAAGAATGAATGACGAATAGAGAGAAAGTAGAAAGGAGCGAGAGAGAGAGAGAGAGAGAGAGAGAGAGAGAGAAAGAAAGAAAGAAAGAAAGAATGACACAAACACGTGCATAACAAATAGAAAAAAAATGATAGGCTACAGTGCTGCATACGTATTTAAATTAAAGGAGCATTAAATAAGCATGGATGTGCATTTTAGATGTATTAGAGGAGTTTCACCACACATTTAGTATTAGTTGTAAAACTTTGTAGTCCGACTTGGGGAGAATCTTCGGAAGTTGCATTTTCTTCGAGAAAATTTGCCTTCTTTAATTCTTTCGACTAGACTTTTTTATCGCGAAAGAATTTCTAAGCTTTCAATGCATTATTTTTCATTTCATAAATGGCTCGTCAAAATGAATTTCTTTTTCTTAAGGAACCTGTAACAAATTACTAAAGGAATTCTAATATTAATCGGATAATTTTAGCCTGATTTTTCCTCGATTTTACGATAGATAACATCGATAAGATTGTTTTTTCTCGAAGGTTTCTCCTCAGTCGTCTCCCTTGAGAGAAACGCGGTGGAGATTATCATTGTCATGATCATTATCACTGTCATCGCCGTTTTTATTTAACTTGTACGTGTTTTACGCAATCTATCGACGACAAGCAAGTACTAAATGAAGTAGGTATATAATATATATAATTTGTTAAGACGGGGAACGAAGAGCAAACATATTGTCATTATTTTATTGACGTCGTATTATTTATATCGAAGGAGTACCATAGTATATACAATAATTATTAACGATA